GAGCCAGACCCAGAGGGTTGGAAGGACTGAGGTTGGAGGAGGAAAGGCAGAAGTTACGGTTGAAGGTATGAAAAAGAACTAGAAGCAAGAGAAGATTCATCACCAAAACACTGTACCTTTGACGGATAGCAAGGGTACTGCATGCAAGTGTTTCAGGAAGGTTCCAGAGGAGAGGGAGCTAAGCATATAGGGATATGTTAAGTGGCTGGAAGAGGACTGCGTTAATATGCTGATGAACTACTGGATCTGGGAAGGGTGAGAGAGAAGGAAGAAAGTATAGGACCTCCCAGGAGTTGGCAGGTGATGCTGTAGAGAAGGGGCTCTGGGCTGGGGCCAGGGCTGTAAAATTGAGGGGCTTCTTAGGAAATTTGCACACAGTCCCAAACGCCACCAATGAGTCAGGTTCTAATGTTGAATCTGGGACCTTCTTCCCGAGAAGCCAAATTGGAGAATGGCAGAACCTAATATTTTTGTAGCTTCCTAAGTGGGGGCAGAAACACCAGTTTGGGTTGTTCTTGGCCCCTTTGGTTGGGGAAGGATGGGAAAAGAGGGGTTAGTCACTTCCAGTGACATATTTTGCCTGCATGTCTGCTCAGCAGTGATGACACATTCCTGGCTGAGCATATATACACTTGCTCACCTCTACTGCCCCACACAATGACAGTCCACCAACATTAAAACATGTACCTGCACCCTTACCTGCTGATGGTGACACAGGATTGTACCATTTCATCCCCATGCTAATGCTCTATCACCTCCTACATCATCCCTCATTGACAGCAACACTTAGCCATACACCATCACACAGAAATAGTGACTGAGCTCTTGTATCTAGCACACTCTGTGTAAATGGGACCCTCTGTGGTTGTATAATGTACAATTTATGCACCTTTGCCTTGTACACAACCCTTCCACAATGTCATGCACTTAGCTCTATACTGTCACATCACTTCACGTTAAGAGGGTTACAGACACACTCATACCCACCTGCCCTGCCACACCCTGACAATGGCATACAGCACCTGAATCATTCCACATGGGTGCCGCGTGGTCACACTAATGGGCACGAACACAAATGTACCACTGCACAGTGATGGCTTTGCCTTCATGTTGACTTGTTCCACATTGAAGGAGGCAGACTGGGAACCTCACATCACATCACATACCCTATCAGTGATGGTGCCCTAGCCATTGTGAATGACAAGATGGAAGGCACTCCTCACAGGAAGGAGGCAGCTCAGAGCTCTTCTATATTCCACCCCTGCAATTCTCTCCCTACCTCTGGCTCCTGGCCACCTTCTCAAACCAAAACCAACTCTGCCCCTCCAGGCTCCAGCTAGAATGGCAGGTTGTTGAGTCTTTCAGACATTTCCCTGCACCCACCAGCAAAACACCAGCCCAGGTCAGGACCAGCTTACAAGCTCCAGAGCAGAGCAGAGATGATTTCCACGAATTCTAGACACCTCCTCATCACCTACACAGCATCCAGGGTTCCCTCTGCACTAAGGTGACTCTACCAAAGAAATAGGCTGACCTTTGGATGGGTGCCCTATGTGAACTATTCTCTCTGGTCACCAATCACAGTCTCTGACAGTTCACATTGTTCCTCAGTCCTCACACAAAGTACCATTATTAGCTCTCTGAATTGCTTCCTAGTGAACATTCTAGGTGTATACATATCGTTTTAAAAATCTGTCTCCCTGTACTTGCTCCCAGGGCTCATAAATAAAAGTACAAATCCATCACTCACCAGGATAAGACACCTTAAGCACAGCCACATCCATATTTTACAGGGTGACTCTTAGAAGTTGTCTACAGAGCTCCTAAGCATGGACCAAAGACTAGGCCTGTTTGTGCTTTCACACATGTGCTCTCTAGCAACAGGCTGGATTAGAGACAAAGGAAATGCTGGCAACATGACATGGAGACTATGTGTAAATTCATGGCAGGGCTCTGTGTGTGTGTGTGTGTGTGTGTGTGTGTGTGTGTGTGTGTGTAAAATCAGGGAAAACAGATGACTATAAATGTCAATGTAAAAAAATTCTGCACAGCAAAAGCTACATTTCCATAGGCTGCAGCATGTGTCAGAAGAGAAGTGATCCAGTGTTGTGTAAGGATTATACTGCTCGGTGTCAGGCAAGCCTGGGCTGGAATCCTGGCTCTGCTGAAGATCCCCTTTCTCTCACTGGGCTTTACTTTCCCCATTTTGAAAATAAGAACTTGGGTAAATTAAATGAGAGAGGCACCACAGTTAACACCTAAAACATAATGGAAGCTCAGATTGTTGTTGTGATTGGTAGCATTATAATTTTTAAGAAATACTTTTTAATATTTAGTAACTTGTCTTTGGTAATAATAGACTATTTGGGAACCATATCCAGGTGGGTAAAACTGAAGAGGGAGCATGTATTTCATCTCTCTACCACCTTTCTTCCATGGGAAACACCAGTGGCTAAAGTGTTACGATTTATCCCTTTTCAACTAGGTGAAGGCACCAATGCAATGGGCTGCCCTTCTATTGGCCCATGAGATTTTCTGCATCTCATGTCAGCAATGCAATTTTGTGCATTTGAAGAAATCTGAGTTCAAAGGGAGCTTTATCTGTCACCTGGGCCATCCTCTTACCCAACTGTCATCTTCCAGACTGGGGAACCGATGACTTCACATAAAGCAACTATGCTATAGCTGGACAGCTCCAATTGATCGGAGGCTTTCTCTTAGAATCTACTTCTCTTTAACTTTCCCTCATTACTCTAACTCCATCTTCAGAGTGGTAAAGAGCAGCAGTACTCCTGTTTCCTTGCCATAGTTATCTATCCATTCAACAAGCAATTCTTTAGCACCCATTTGCCAGGTACCATGCTGGAGTTATAAGCCAAGGAAGTGTTGACAGTGTAAATATCCCTCAGTGTTCTCTCCTCCAGGTTGAAATCCCTTCATTTGTTCTGATTTCCAGATGCCTATGCCACACAGCCCTCTTTTCCAACTTAATGAAGTCCATCTTCATATATAGTACCCAGAAATAAGCTCAATATTTTGCTGAAGCCTAACTAAGCTGAGTGTTCAGTCCAGCTTGGCTGACATCCATATCAAAAGCAATACCAACTGTGGAAAAACCCCAATTGTAGCCAGAGTGCTGCTGGCCAAGTCCCATTTACTGAGCACGTTGTTTTAAAACACAGAGAAAGGAGGGAGAACAAGGAACAGAGGGAACTGTGGCTCTTTAAGTGACACGATGTCAGATCTTTCTACCCAGAACTCCCCTCAGGCATTAGTGGCAAGTCTAAGTCACTTTAATCAAACAGCACCCACTTCAGTGTCTGCCCTAGGAAATAAAAAAATAACAACAAAGAATGAGCAGCCTATGCTGATGGACCAACACTGTACTAAATAGAGCACTCAACCATAAAGGAAGGATCTTCTTTATGCAAAGCCCTCCAGTCCTTAAGAAGAGAAGAGAGATGAGCTTCAGAAGCTGGCATTCCAACTGAGTGTCCCCTAACTTGTGCCTCTCACTGGGAAGCCTCTCGTGTGACTGAACATAAAGGAGTAGTATCCTCTTCTTGGAGCCAAGTCACCTCTCCCTCCTCTCCTGGATCCTGTCCTTCTGCAGCTCTTGCAACTCCCCCTCTGGAAGGAAGCCATCCCTTTCCAGAAGCAGAAGTCCTCTCCACTCTGTCACAACCCTGATCGATGCATAAACTCCTGCAAATCTCTCAAAGTCCTGGCACAAGGCCCCTCCTCTCTGAAGCCATTTTCCTCCACATCAGTCTGGATTAAAGGAGAGTTGAGAGCCAAAAGATGGCAGGCAGAATGGAGAGGCTCATTAGGTGAGAGTAATAAAACAAAAATGAGCATGAGGGAAAGAGGAAAGCTGGGGATGGGTGATTTTGCTCTTCCTCGTGGAGTTCTTTTTCCTTCCCTGGGCACAGAAGGAAAAGAAGCAGTCACTTAGGACAGATTTGACAAAGGATTCCTTCTCTTCACAGGATTACAGATCTACAGGGGACTGGTGAGTGATTCACTTAAGATCTACTGTGCTTTTGCAGCAGACCTCTCCCTCTGAGCCCAAGCAGAGTTTGTGATGCCCTCTAAGAGCCTGGCACCATGCACCGGTTGTTCTTGAGTGCTTATGTAGCTGGACTAGAGTGACAAAGTACAAAGACCATCTGATGGTGGGCGGTCCTGGAGCTGCTCACAGGCAAGATGCAAACAGATGAAACAGGGTGGCTGATACAGGGGCTCCTCTAGGGGTGGCAGGAGCTCATTCTGCCTGGAGGAACCAAGGGGTGCTTTCCCAAGGAGGGGCCTTTGGGTTTTGCTTCCTTGACCCTCCCAGCACCACCCCTCCAAAGCAGCAGGGTTATGATCCCTGAAGCCATAGCCAGGACGACTGCATTGGAAGGGGTGTCTGCAGCGGGGAAGGGGGACAGTAAAAGGTTAACAAAGAAAAGAGAAGTAAAGTCCAGAGTATGGGTTGTAATTATTATTGTAATCCCAGAAAGTCAGAATTCCTTGGGTGACAAAGTCCCCTGCAATAATTTAGTAGGCACAATTTAAAGGTTGTGGGCATATTCAAAGGCCAGGGCTTCCCAAGGAACAAGAGGATCTTCTATATTAAATGTGTGGGGAAAAAAAGAGAAAAAAGAAAAGAGGAGAAGAAAAGGAGAGAGAATGGGAGAGGGAGACCAAAAGGAAAGAGAGGGAAGAGTGGAGGAGAGGTGGAAGGAGAGGGAGAGGGAGAGGGGGAGGGAGGAAGAGGGGG